ACCGCTGCCAGGCGGGGGAGAGGGGCGGCCTGGCCCGCCGACGCTGCGGGGCCAGCGGGGCGCAGGGGCAAAGGCAGGTCGAGCAGCAACGCCAGGAGCGGCTGCTCCAGGAGTGTAGAGGCGGAGCGAGTGGCTGCAGGGAGCAGCTGGGGAGGCAGAGGAGAGGGTTGCACCCCCTGCCTGGCAGGAGGAGCAGCAGGTGCGACTTCCTGTAGGAGTCGCAAGCGGCCTCAGGCAGGAGCTGGCAAAGGCGACGGGCGAGCAGATGCTGGCCACCGATGAGGAGCTGCGGGCGCCGAGGCAGGTGACGGCCGCGAGCGACGGCAAGGGCAAGGCGCACTGAGGCGCCGTGCGCTTCAGGCCGCTGGCCGACGTCGCCAAGGCCCACGGCGCCGACGAGGGCGGCGCGGTGGTCCTCGGACGGAGGGCGGGGGCCGCCAAGACCGACGTTGCGAGAGGCGAGGACGCCTGCCCTAGGAGGGAGGAGGAGGAGGAGGAGGAGGAGGAGGAGGAGGAGGAGGAAGAGGAGGAGGAGGAGGAGGCGGGAGGCGGGAGGCGTTCAGGGCCCCACGCCGAGGGGAGCGGGAGGCCGAGGCCGCAGCGCGGAGGGCGCGCCTAGGCCGCCTAGGCCCAAGGCGAGGGCGGCCGTGCCGGGCAGGGCTGCCGCGAGGAGAGGAGGCCAGAGTCAGGTCGGGCGTGTCCCCCTAAAGGGAGATATTCGAACGAACAAACGAATAAGCCGCGCCCTGACGGCGCATCGGCAGCAACTGCAAGTAAAAATAGCACATGTGTGGTACCATGCAGAAGACGACGCTGCAAAGACGCTGAGCAACAGCAGTGCCTCGGTCGACAGGCGTTCGGCACTTTGTCCATACGCTGCATGGAGATTGTTGACGAAACCGTAAAACATATTCAAAAAAGATCAAGTATAGTCAAAACGTGCTCAACAAATAGTCCCCAGACTATTGTTCGACTGTTTTTGGATATTCCCCCTGCAGAGGGACAGGCCCGACTGAAGGCCAGAGGGGGCTCGCCTGGCGGACGGCGGAGGAGGCGAGCCGAGCCGAGCGGGCCAGCGTCGGAGGCGGCGGGCCCGCCCGGCCGACGCGTGACGGGGGAAGGCGAGCGGCGAGGGTGGCGCCGTGCGCCGACCCGACGGGGCCCCGAGGAGGCCGGCGCCGTGCGCGCGCCCACTGCGCGAGCGCGGCGCTGCCCCGAGGGGGCGCTCGGGGCACCGTCGAAAGCAGGGGCTCCCAACTTCGCGCTTCGCGCTGCGCGGAGCGCGGAGTGCGAATCACTTCGCGCTCTCGCGGCTCCCAACTTCGCGCTTCGCGCTGCGCGAAGCGCGGAGTGCGAAGAACTTCGCGCTCTCGCGCCGCCTCCCAAGGAAGAAAAAGAGGATGAGGAGGAATCGGAGCCGAACCGCGAAGCGCGAAGCGCGAATCACTTCGCGCTCTCGAGGGCGCCCTTGGAAAAGCGTCGACGTGGTCGCCGTCGTCGACGTGGTCGTGGTGGTCGTCGTCGTCGTCGTCGTCGCCGGGGGGCGAGCACGAGCTGGGCAGTGCGAGGCGTTGCCCGGGGAGGGCGAGCACGATCGACAACGAGACGCAGGTCAAGGGCTGCCGAGCTTCAGAGCATACTACGGAGGATGGGGGGAAGACCTCTCTAACTCTTTGGTATCGGGAAATTGACAAGATACCGTCACATTCAACTCGTAAGATAAGGATGCGCGGTAAGGATGCAAGGGCCTTGGAAGGCCACGTCGACACTTTGCTGGTGGGGCGCGGCCAGCGGCCAAGGACGGGCCGAAGGGGAAGGATGCAAGGGTAACCTCGGAAAACTGCTCATGACTACTATGCGGGTTGACTGCACCGTCATTCCCGACCCGTCCCAGGGTGCGCTCCGATCAGGACATCGTCGCGAACCAAGCCATGGACGCGGGACGGGTAGCGGCATCAATATCGTTTCCTGGAGGCCCCGCAAACGGGGTCCGGAGGAACGGGGTCGGACACGGTCACCGCATCGCCGATGCATCGGCATCCATCGGCGACGTCGAGACGGAACCGTGTAGAATTCGGGGGCTCCGAATCGAGCCGCGACGCCAATGTATCGGCGATGAAGCGGAAGCCTCCATTCCCACCTGCTCGCACCCTATTTGCCAGCTCCGCGCAGGAGTGGGCCAAGAGAAGGGTGACCTGTGGTGCTCGGCTTCAGGGGGCCACGGGGGGCGGCCACTTCTGACGCGTGGGCAAGACTGAACGGCCGGCGCTTCCTCCAACGACCCTCCTCCTCGCGACAGGGGCGGCGCGGACGGGTGAAAGAGATTGTTGGGGGCAGCCAGCTCGGGAGGGAAAAACATCGACATGGAAGCAGCGATACCTCGCCAATGGATCAGCGAGAGGCCCCGCATGGCGAAAACGCACGCTCCTGGGCGGGGTCGATCATCGGGAGCGGCCAAGAGGGGGGGGTCCAAGAGGGGGGGATGCAAATCATGACCGGAGGCATTTGCGCGGCCCAGCGGGGGGGCCAGGGACGCAATGAAATGAACAGAGGCGCCATGAAATCTGGGAAATATCAATGGCCCACGCCATGATGTCCACCCCCTCTAATCATCACCCCCCTCTTTTCCGCCCACGATACCAGGCCCCCATTTGCGATGAATGAGCGGCCGGTGTCGACGCATCCCCCTGTGAGATGTACCCCTGACACTTCCCCCGACTGCACTGGCCCGGCGCGCTCCCCACGGCAGGAAGGAGGTGCGCGAAGGGGCGGGCCCAGCGCCGGCCCGTGACAATCCGCGCGGACCTCCCAGGTCTTGCCCTCGCCTCGCGTTTCCTCTGCTCGTCGGTGGAGAGAGGAGGGCGGTTCTGCCCCTGAGCGTGTCCCCCCCAACGTTGCCCGCAGACCGCCGCCACGACAACGACCACGACACGGGCGATGACGAAGACGACGACGACGACGACGACGACGACGACGACGACGACGACGACGACGACGACGACGACGACGACGGCGGCGGCGGCGACGGCGGCGGCGACGGACCACGACGAAGACCGAGACCACGACGAGCACGACGACTCACCGATGCCTCCGAGTAAGCGCATCCCTCCCTGGGCCCCCCCCCATCCTTTCGTATCGTTTAACCGACACCTCTCCCCATCCCCATCCCCATCCAGACCCCCACCATCTCAGAACCTCAGTTGGTGATAGACCCTCGAACCCAGGGAAACGGCCCAGATCCCCATCTAGGGAGGCTAAGCGGCCAGCGGGGCCCAGGACACGCCCACGGGGATAGGGTCGCTTCAACGATGCTCAGCTTGCCATCGCTCGGACGTCCCTTCCCCGTGCAATGTTTGGTGTCGTGCGTGCGATGCTTGCTGCCAGAGGATCTGGGATGCTCCTCGATGGTCCTAGCCGAGAACCAATGCGCACGTCCGAGCGATGAGGAGGAAGAGAAGGAGGAGGAGGAGGAGGTAGGAGGAAAAGGAGGAGGTAGGAGGAAAAGGAGGAGGAAAAGGAGGAGGCAGGAGGAAAAGGAGGAGGTGAGGGAAGAGGAGGAGGAGGAGGAGGAGGAGGAGGAGGAGGAGGAGGAGGGAGGAGGAGGAGGAGGAGGAGGAGGAGGAGGAGAAGTGAGGAGGCGAGGGAGGAGGAGGAGCCACGTCAGCCCCTGCCCCTGCCAGCGGGAGGGCGGGGGGCGCCCCGCCTGGGCCCCGGCGCGCTTCTGGGCGGCCGCCGCCTTTACCGCGGGGTGCGGGGGCTCGTCACGGGGCGACGGCGAGCGCGCCCGCCGCCCCGGCGGCGGGGGGGGCTCCTCCTCCTCCTCCTCCTCCTCCTCCTCCTCCTCTCCTCCTCCTCCTCCTCCTCCTCCTCCTCCTCCTCCCTCCTCCTCCTCCTCCTCCTCCTCCTCCTCCTCCTCCTCCTCCTCCTCCTCCTCCTCCTCCTCCTCCTCCTCCTCCTCCTCCTCATCCTCCTCCTCCTCCGGGAGGGCCGGCGAGGCCCGCGGAGGGTCGGCGTGGGCGCGATGGGGGGCCACCCGAGCACGGCCGAGGCGCAGGGGGGGGGATGGCGGGGGAGGGCGGAGGGCGACGATGAGGGAGGAGGCAGGGGAGGAGGGAGGCGGGGGAGGAGGGAGGGCGAAGAGGAGGCGAGGGGAGGGCGGAGGGCGACGAGCGTGGGGGAGGAGGAGAGAGGATGGAGGGGGAGAGCCGAGACAAGGACCGCCTCCTCCTCCCCCCCTGCCCCGTCCTCGCACACCTCCTCCACCGACGCAGCTCCTGCCACTCCTCACTCCGCACTCCGCACTCCGCACTCCGCACTCCTCCTCCTCCTCCTCCTCCTCCTCCTCCTCCTCCTCCTCCTCCTCCTCCTCCTCCTCCTCCTCCGTCTCCTCCTACGCCTCCTCCTCCCCCTCATGACGCATATTCTAAGATGCTTGAAACGGAAAGTTCATACGCCCCAGCGCCTTACAATGTTTTCGTTTCCCTGTCAATCAGTCCAGCCAGCCAGCCGAGACAGTGAGACCAGGCCAGCCAGACCAGCCAGCCATCCATCCAGACCAGCCAAGCTCAGCCAAGACTACGCAGATCAGCAGGACCAACTACACAAACCAGATCAAAGCGGCATTGAAAACATGCGATGCCACAAAATCTGCGATGCAGAACAAGATGGAATAGGCAGACCAGCAAGACCAGCAAGATAAACCAGCAAAGTAGACCAACCAGACCAGCGAGACAAGTCAGCCAGACCAGACAAGCCAGACCAGTCAGCAATCCAGACCAGCCAAGCCCAGACCAGACGAATCAGATCAATCAGACCAACCAAATCAACCAGACCAAACCGGCATTGCAAATACAAGTGCGATGCGACAAACTTGAACGTGACGGCCTGCAAGACCAGCAACTCAAGCAAGTGAAGCAGACAATCGTGACCAACCCGACCAGTCAGCCATCCAGATCAGCCAAGCCCAGACCAGACTAATCAGACCGACCACACCAAACAGACTAACACTGCATTGCAAAACAAAATGCGATGCCCCGACCAAAACTGCATGGTAAAACAACTGAAAGTTAATTGTTTTGTGGTGGTCGTGGTTGGAGCTGCGCGCCTCGCACCTCCCTGTACGTCCTCAAGCCGCATTCGGCTCGCACGCGGGAACAAAGGGAAAGCTCATGCTGCGAAAAAGCAGCATTCCGAAGCAGACGAAAACTGCATTGCACAACACAACTGCAATGTATAAACAATTGTGATGTCATGGTCGTGGCTGGCGCTGCGCGCTTCGCACATCCCTGCACATCCGCAAACGACATCCAGCTCGCACGCGGAATCATAAGCGGCAGCAAACCAGCTGCACTACGAAGCTCAACCTCAAATCTGAAGCTTCAAGCTCGCAATTGTTGAAGCTTGGCGCCCCACCGTGCGTTGCACAACGAATAACTGTTTCCCCCTCCCTCTCCTCCTTCCTCTTCCTCCTCCTCCTCCTCCTTCTCCTCCTTCTCCTCCTCCGCCTCACCCCTTGTTCATATATCCTCCTCCTGCTAAACCTGGGTACTCTCTCCTCCACGACTTCTCAATGTGCATACTAGCTACCCCCGTTCTCCCCCTAACAATGTATCAAACAGCTCGCGCCTCTCATGCGCACTGCATTGGCAATGCACAGGCAGAAGTTCAAATCGTTGTCTGTTATGGTTGATTCAACCTGAACCTTTCAACATTCTAGCCAGCGCGGACCCCAGAAAATGAGTTGTTGCCCAATGAAGGTGAAAGCCATGCGGTGTAAGCTATGTGGTGCCAGTTATTCGGCGAAAGCTATGTGATGGAACCTGTGTCTTGTAAGCTAGGTGGTGTGAGAGACCATGCGATGTAAGAGGGGCGGTGTGATCTGGCGGCTCAAACTCCAGGGGTTAAGCTGCGCGAAGCAAGTTATACAGTGCACGCCATGCAGTGCAAGCTATGTGGTGTACACCATGTGGATTGAAAGCTGCTATAGGAGGAGGAGGAGGAGGAGGAGGAGAAGGAGGAGGAGAAGGAGAGCGAGGAGGAGGAGGAGGAGGAAAAGGAGGAGGTAGGAGGAAAAGGAGGAGGTGAGGGAAGAGGAGGAGGTGAGGGAAGAGGAGGAGGTGAGGGCAGCGGAGGAGGAGGAGAGGAGGAGGAGGAGGAGGAGGAGAAGAAGGAGAAGGAGGTGGAGGAGGAGGAGGAAGAGGAGGAGGAGGGGGAGGAGGAGGAAGAGGCGGAGGAGGAGGTGAGGGAGGAGGAGGAAGAGGAGGAGGAGGAGAAGGAGGAGGAGAAGGGGGGGGGGAGGGGGGGGCGAGGAGGAGGAGGGCTCAGAACATGCGGCGCCCACCAGGCGCCCACGACGCGACGTCGGGGCGGCACGGGCGGCAACCGGGCACAGCCTCGGCAGACCCCCCAAAGGCGGCAGGGCGGAGGCCAAGCGGCGTTGTTCGTTTTCGTTTCGTCTTCGGTGCCCCTCGCTTTTTGTCTCGAATCCGTTATTGACGCAAAACGAACGAACGAACGAACGAACCCAAACGGTGTGTTTCGTTTTCGTTCCGTCTTCGGTGCCCCTCGCTTTTTGTCTCGAATCCGCAATTGACGCAAAACGAAATCGAAACGAAAACAGCCCCCGCGCAGCCTCGGGAAGCCCACAGCCTCGGCAGACCCCCCAAAGGCGGCAGGGCGGAACCCAACCGGTGCTTGTCCTTTTCGTTTCGTCTTCGGTGCCCCTCGCTTCGTCTCGAATCCGCAATCAACGCAAAACGAAATCGACACGAAAACGGCCCACGCAATCGCCAACACAATCGGTGTCCCTCGCGTTGTCTCGAATCCGCAATTCACGCAACACGAAATCGAACGAACGAACTGCCATACGCCGGGGCGCGTGGGCAGAAGACAGTGCCAGCCTGAACCTCGCCGCTTGGCGGGAGCGACTGCTCGTCGGCTGTCTCACAATGCACAGCGTGCGCGATGGGAGGAACGAGATCGAAACGAAAACGGCCCACGCAATCGCCAGCACACCGTTTAGGCCCAACCCTGAAGTGCAGGCCGGTCACGAGGCGCCCACGAGGCGTCACGAGCGGCAGCAAGGCGCAGCCTCGGGAGACCCACCCAGCGCAAAAAGGCGCCCACGAGGCGCTCGCGAGCGGGCAGTCGCCAGCGTGGCGAAAGCCAGGAGAACCCATCAGGTTCTCAAAGAACCAATGTAAGAAACCCTCGCAAGTGCAAGCATCGGACGAACGAACGAACAAGCCATACGCCAGTAGGCGCGTGGGCAAAAGCATGCGTCTGGCAAGCTCGACGCGGGATCAAGGAAAATGCCGCGAGCAGCCCGATAAAGCACAAGAGGTAGAAGAAGAGGAGAAGGAGGAGGAGGAGGAAGAAGGGGCCAGGAGAGCACCATGTAGGCGCCAGGAGGAAGAAGGGGCCAGGAGAAGTGCAAGCATCGTTTGGGGAAAAAACGTGTTCCTGCTGCAGCGCTTGGCACAAGTCAGGATCGGTGCACCGCTGCCGTCGTTCGGAACGGCGCCCTCGCACAAGCGCGGACCACACTGGTGGATCCGATTCGCTCCTCGCCTCCTCCGTACAGTCGGGGCATTGACCTAAGGAACCCTAAATAAGGAACGAGGCCCCTTTTTTCCATAAGTTAAACTTCGATTTCCTATCGAAAACATAAGGGAAACCTGAGGCAACCTGGGAAACACTTAAGGAACGCGGAGCCCCTCCCCAACCAAAAAGGTTCCTTCTTCAGGGCCCCGGCTTGATTCGCCTCCACTGATCCTGCTCCTTTCCGCTTTCCTGCTTCCTGATCCCGCTCAACCTCCCGCGGCACCCGGAGATCGCAGGAAGCCCCAAGAGACCTCCTGCAAGCCTGAAGTCGGGCGTGTCCCCCTGCAGGGGAATTTCGGGCGACAAATAAAGAATACGCAAACAAATCCCCCCTAGTACTCAAAAATGGTCAGAAAAACCGTCCCCGCACTATTCCTTCACTATTTTTGCAGATTCCAACTGCAGAGGGACACGCCCGACGTACTGCAAGCCCTCCGAGACGAGCCTCCTCGGAACTGGTCGCACGGCGCCGCTTCTTGCCTCGAGCACCACGCTGGGCCCCGAAGGATCGCCCCCCCCCCGATCGAGCGGCTCCTCAGGAGCCACAGGCCGCCCCCCTTTGCAGGATGGCCCCAAGGCTGGCGCCATGACCCGTCGGTCGGAAGAAGTGGGTACACCCTGCGAAAGGCTAAAGAAATCATGGGTTAAGAAATTCATAGTCTCAGAACTTGAATTAAAACCCAACAGTTCTATTAAAATCTTAGGACCTACATTGAAACATTAAGAATAATCGAGACCCTGGTCGAAAACTTAAGTTTTCTTAAGCATCGCCTAAGTTGTAGAATTAAGTCGGGCCCGTCCCCCTACAGGGGGGCTTTGGACGACAAATAACAACTGCTGAAACCATAATCAAAAGATGCCCAAAAATACCCCCAAAAAAAGTCCCTGGGCTACTCTTTGATTATTTTTGAAGATTCCTCCTGTAGAGGGGCACGCCCGACTTACAATTACCCGTCGGTCGGAAGAAGTGGGTAGAAGCAAGAGGCAGGAAGTGGTTGGAAGCAGACTGGGCTTCCGCTCGCCGCCCGAAGAGGAGGAAAAAGGTAAAACCGTTCGTCGACCCTTGAATAGAAGAAGAAAAACGCCATGACCATAATCTCTTGGCGCTCCGCGTGGTATTCTAGGATCTGCGCTGGAACCCCCTCCCTGGCGCGCCGGGGCGCGCCAGAGGCGGCGTCAGAGGCGCCGCCGGGGGGTTGGGGCGCAGGCCAAAAGTGTATGGTTATGGCGTGTATTGTTTTTCAAAAGAAAGCGCCTAAAGAAGATTGGGATCTGGGACTCCCAAAAATAACATACTTTCAACCACAGACGTGCACCCACACACAGGGCCTGGACCTGGGGCCGCCCCCATTAAGGCCCAGGAATCCCGGAACAGCCGCCCAGCGCGACGGCGTGGAAGGGGCAGCAGACTTTTTGGTTGCGGGGCAAAAGGCACCGTTCAGCGGTTTTTTCTTGAAAACACCGGGTTGCCCGACAGCGGTGCCGCCGACGCCGCGACCACGTCCGCATGCAACCACGCACCCTGTGGAAGGAGAGCGGCTGCCAGCGGTGCTGCTGGCGGCGTCGCGATATCGCTGCGGATGTCGCGCAAGAGATCGCGGACTGTCTTCCCCCAGTCTCGAGCTCTTTGGCCTCGAAGTCGTCTTCGGACGGCTTGGCAGAATTTCGAGGTAGCGAGCTCCACGGCGAGCTTGACCCGATGCAAATCGGAGGAGAAATTCTAAAAGTTTTCGGGAACCTACTATGGTGGTCAAAGTGATGGTGACGGTGATCGTGATGGTGGTGCTGGTGTGGTGGTGGTTGCGGGGTTGTGGGGGATATAAGACAATGGGACATGGTATGGATCGGAAACCCGGTCCGCGCAGCGACCGCGAACGGCATCCACCGAGCGAAATCCTGCAAATTGGCAGCAGTAAACCAGCAACAAAACCTGTGGGGAAGCCAATCCAGTTTGGGTCCAGCAACATGCACGCGCGATGCCCAAAAAAACATGCATTCGCAACCTCCGCTCCCGACCAACATGCATACAGCATGCACCCAGGGCCTCGTCGTCCGCCCGCTTCTTCGCCTGTCAGAGCTTCGCGGCAGGGCGAAACCAATGGAGCAAGCTTGCCACGAAGAGCGAGGGAGACTCGAGGAACGTGGAACAGACAAGAAACGGTGCCAAAGACAAAGTGCAAAGTGCTGGGGTCGAAAAATATTGTGGGACACATAACGCACGGAAAAGACCATCGAACAAACGCCAAACAAACGGGATGTGGACACACAACAACCAAACGGAAAAGAATGGGGGGATGGAATAGGTCATGGGATGGTATTCCTGAACCGTAAGATCTAATCTACGTGTGCGTCATTCAGGCGATTGACGCATTGCCTGGCGGGCTCCCCCGGGCAATGCACTGTTTGCCATTGTGGGCCCTGGGCAAATGACATGTTACACCCCGGGTACTGTACACATTGACAGATCCGCGCGCGATCACCTTCAACGACCGTGGAAGAATCCCACGCGCCCGCCCGCCCACCCACCCACCCTCAACTGGTCGACGCAATTCAACTAGGCAACGACAGCGACGGTTTTTTGCGCTGGAGGGGCTGCGCCGCCAATCCCCCAGGCTGGGGGCCAGAGAGCGCGCAAACGGCGCGCACTCACGTCTTCGTTCAGCTGCTGCTACATATTGCCAAGCTTCCTGCGGTTCCACTCGATCGCAATCCTGGACGTCCCAGGCTGGAGGCCCTTCTCGATGCGCGACGGGTCCTGCTTCCCCGTCTGATTGGGATGCCCGCCGCATTCCTGCGCCGAGTCGCGCATGCTCTCCCGCGCGATGCACCCGCACCGCTTGCAGTAGTGCAGGCCCTGCTCGTCGTGGCACACGCTGTGGTGGCTCTCGTGGATCTTCTGGTGGCCGATCTGCGCCTTGCTCGAGACCGCGCCGCGCATGTTCGCCGACTCCCTCTCGACTGGCCCGCGCCCCTCTGCGAGCCATGCGGCCGCGCTGAGAATGGGCGCCCGACCGCCGCGCCTGCTGCACCCGCAGTGCTTGCCGACCACGTCGTACGTGATCACGTGCTTCGTCTCTGCCAGCAGCTTCTCGCGCCGCCGCTTCCGGACGTTCGCCTCCTTTCGCTCCTTCTGCGAAGGCCCCGCAGACGGCTCCACCTCGATCGCGGCCTGGAGCGTCGCAAGCTCTCGGGGCCGCACAAGGGCGACGATCCCTACCGCAAAGCCCGCCGCCCGCGCCTGCGACTCGGGCACCTGCGCCCGATCGACGATGCCGCCCAGGATGTCGTCGGCGAGGAAGTAGCCGATGTAGTCGATGGGGCCCACACCGGTGTCTATCGCGTCAGCGCGCTCATGTGGCTCTCTATCTTCACGAAGAACAGCTCCTTCCCCTTGATCAGCTCGCGCACTTCACTGCAGAGGTGCACGCGAGTCTTGGGCATCTTCCCATGCCGCAGCTTCAGCACCCCTCGCATAGCGCACGCCGAGTCGACCGTGTACCTGATCTCCTGGTACCCCCTGGCAGCGGTGAGCAGCTCCTTTAGCACCGTGAGCCCTCACCCGTTGACGCCCTGCCTCCATCCAGCAAGTGCACCTCTGGCGCCTGCCACGAACATCGGCTCGTTCAGCTCCGCCGTCTGCATGATGACTCAGCCCCAGGCGATCCTCCTCAACCTCGAGTCCGCCGCGTGCTCGCCCCCCGACGCGTCTCCTGCCGCGAACAGCCACTCGTTGGCGTCCTGGCCACCCTCTTTCTGCTGCGAGCTGACCTCACCGAAGCGCTCGAACAAGGCGTTCTCGGGCTCAGGAGGCGGGCTGACCGTCGTCCACGACTTGGGCAAAATGCCTCTGAGCCACAGGCACGGGTGTACATCCTCCTGGCTGATTTCTTGCGCTCCTCGATGATCTCGTTGCACTTGTACCCCCGCATGCGGCGCACCCAAGTATCGGGGTCTTCCCCGCACCGCGGACGCATCACGCCCTCTACTTCGATGCCTAAGTCGGCAACACGCTGCCACGGCCAAACCCCACCAGTAAAGAGAGCGAGCTGCGCCCCCACCTCGTCGCACTCGCCCTTCGCCTCGAGCTTGCGGATCAGAGCCCTGGCCGAGAGCAAGTCCGCGCCTTCCTTCAAGCCCTTGCCCGCGTTGTGGTCGGCCGCCGCAGTCCACTGCCTCCTCTCTATCGCGTCGCTGAGCGCCTGCTTCAAGTCGCTGATGTCGAGGTCGCCATCCAAGCCCGTGGGGTCGCTGCCGCCGAACTCCTCGTCTGCGCCCGACACCCAATGCCATGGTCCCTTCGGGCCCCAGTCGAGGTCCAGCAACGCGTTGACCATCGCCCTCGCGACGCCCGTGACTCCCTCCCAGCGCTTCTTGACGTCTGTCTCGGCACCTCCTTCACCACCCGCGGCCAAATGAGCTCCGCCTGCTCGCGCCTTTTGCCGCCGCGGATAACGTGCATCCAGTAGTCCAGCAGTGCGAAGGCGGCACCGAAAGCGGGGCCCCTCTTCGCGATCTCCACCTGCAGCAGCGCGGTGAGGCACCGCCCAGACACCTTTGGGGGGGATGACTCCTGCTAGCCCCCCACACACACACACACACACACACACTTCGTGACGCTGACCGGCGCCATCCCAAAGACCTCGCGGGAGCATGCCGCTCGAGGGACCGACCCGCGCTGAACAACTGCTCGAGCTCCTTCTCTCGCCCGTTGACCGACGCGCGCCATCCTCATGCACCGAGCGGCCTGTCGATCTGCATGGGCTGCCCTCTCTGCGCGCTTGCCCTTGCCCCCTGCGACGCCGCCGCGCCCCCGATCGATGCCCGGGTCGGGCGCCTGACTCCTGACATTCACGGTGATGTTGCGCGAGTGCAGCTTCAGCGCCACCTCGTTGACTACGCCCATGTCATTCCCGATGAGCGCGGACTCCGTGGACGACGTCAGCCGCGCCTTCTTGGCGCCAGCTGCGAACTCCACGCCAGCGTTGGACAGCTGTCTGACTACTCCCCCCCTGGAGTCCTTCATCCTCGTCGCGACGTCGCCCACCCACGACCGCGCGCAGATCTGCTCGCACTTCGCGCTCACCTTCTCGAGTACCACAGAGAGCGCCACTCCGCCGAAGTCGACGCCGCGCCGAGCGCCCGCGCAGATGGACCTGTCGGGCGCGACGGGCCCCGCGCACGCCGTCCTCTCTGACGAGGCGCGTGCCCGAGTGGCTCAGCATTTCCAAGTGCAAAGCGCGGGCTGGGATGCCGAGGCGAAGACCCTCCTTCAGGATCAGGACGGGCTCCAGAGTGTCGCAGAACTCCCTTGGGCCCGGCAGGGCAGTGACGGCGCAGACCTGCATGGGCGCCCATTCCAGCGCCTCGTCGGCAAACGAACGGACAAGAGCCTCCTGCAGAGCGCTGTTGCCCGACACTGCTGCGCCCCACTCCCCCGCCATGTGCGCGACCCACTCGATGGTGCACTCGCTGCGCATCTTCGACCATAACTTGACCACTTCGGGTAGCGACCCAATCGCTCGATCGCCTCCCGCATCCTTCCTGAGCAGGCTGACTAGCGCGAGCATGAGCTGCCGCGGCCATGCGCCCATCCTCTCGACCTCCTCGATCAGCTTACGAAGCCCCCCCCAGGCGCCAGGCGGCAACCTCTTGCAAGCCAGGGCGCCCATCTGCTCGATACCCTTCGCCTTGCTCTTCGCCATCGACTCGATCGCGTTGTTGAAGTCTTCGATCGCGACGATCGCCCCGCCCTCGTCGGTCGCGGCCTCCCCGGTGATATCCAGCTTCTCGAAGATGGTCTCGCGGCGGAAATGGCTCGCCCACTTCTTGCGCCACTGCCTGCCCGTCGCGTCGCGTCCATGCACTCGATCACGTTCGAGGCCGTCGCGCCTCCATCCCTGACCTCATAGTCGCATTGCGGCTTGCCCTTCGTCTTGCGGTGGACCTTGCCACTGCAGACGGCCCCCTGCTCCTGGACCCAGTTGGCGCACGCCAGCAGGACGTCGCTCACCTCGGCGCTTTGCCCTTCTTCGCTGTAGCCAGCGCCGCTACGCCCAGGCCCTGCAACTGCTCCTCGCGCACGCCGCCGACGTTGCGAAGAACCTCCCTCCACCTGGGCTTCTGCTTCGCCGTCGCTCTGATGACGCCACCGGTAGGAATCGAGCCGTCGAGAGCACTGTCCCCACACAATAGCCTTGCCGCGCGCGCCTTGCCTTGCCCTTCTTGCATCGCTGCAACTCCAGCGAGTAAGACGCAAGGGTACCCCAGCACCTAATAGACTGGCCGCCGTCCGCCGGCACGTCCGCGCTGAGTTTGGCCGAGACGTTGACGACGTGGATACCCACGCCCCTGCTGCAATAGTTCCTCCATTTGTCAGGGTGCACTTGAACGATCGCGACGAAGCAATGCTCGCACGCGCGCATCCAGGCCCCGCACTGCGCCCCCAAATCCTTCGCGGCCGCTTCGTCGAAAAGGCGCGCTGCTGACTGCTACGCGCAGTCGGGGGGTCGCCTCCAAGCAACGCGGTCCTCCGAAACGGCTTGGCTCATCTTGATACGCCGCAGGTTGTCTCGCTCTGCAACCTCAAAGTCGAAGACCTCCTCGGACTTTCGGGGCTTCGCCTTCGCCTCCTCGCACGCGGAATCCTCGCTGACCTCGCCGTCCTCGATGCTCGACTCGCACTCACCGAACAAGTCCTCCATCTCGTTCCGCACCATGCACTCATTGGGCAGCTCCGCGCAGCGAGCTGACCTGCGCTTGGCGCCCACGCCCTGATGCGCCCCCCCCACCTGGTGGTGGGGCCGCCTCCTCCGCTGCGTTCAGCACCCGCGCTCGAACCCGCCCACATGATTATTGGCCTTCTGCCCGCTGCGCTTGCCGCTGGGGTCCGCCTTCTTCTTGGGCAAGCCGGGCAACGAGAAGGGCTGCGCGAGCTCGAGGCCCCGCTGGGCTGCAATTAGCGGGTCTCCCCGTAGGTGCAAAAGAACTACGCAGTGGTCGCCGGGCCACCTGGTCTGAATCCACTTTGTCCAAGGCCGCGCAGAAACTCCTTGAGCACACCACGCAGCCCATCATCCTGGAGGGGCTCCGCGTACAAGTGCGGTCCACGTCACCCAGCGTCCTGATGGTTGCGCCGAGCATGCCCAACCATCCCGCTTGCTGTAACTCTCGGGACTCTGAATTCCAATCGCCAGTCTCTGCCCACGGCCCGCCATGGCACCGCGCGATCGCTGCCAGCCTTGCCAACTTGCTAAGATTCACTTTGCTGCGCACACCAACCGATGAAGTCAGGCGCATGCCCACCACCAAGATAGACTGCCCCATCCAACGCCAATTGACGGCGACCATGTCCTGGAAGCCGATGGGGCCAGGACTCCACTCCTTCTTGTCAAGCACCCTCAGCCGGACCATCTGCCCCTTCTTGGCGGCCACATACCGCAATGATGTCACTGAAAGATGGGCACGGGCCGCCAAGCCAATGCCCCCCGCCAGCTCGCTGCCCTGGCGAGCTCGCGAAGGCGACGCCACCGCCGTCCAGCCATTGAACTCCAGGTGCTCCAGGATGTCGTTCGCGCCGTCTGCCCCGACGCGCGCCTCGGGGAAGATCGCGACATCGCCCGCGAGCGCGTCGATCTCTTCTTGAGCTTCCGTCCCCAGGTAGACAGGTTCTGCATGAAGATGGAGTGCTTGTTGGGAGCTCGCCGCTCCGCCGCCTCTGCCCGCGCCCCTGGCGGCTGCCGTCGCGCCCAGGTCCTCTGTTCCAGGTTGTGCTTGCTGGCTGCCCTCCAGGTAGGCTGCCGACGCTGCCCGACTGGCTGACCCTGGCGGGAGTACCTCTTGCTGGTTGAGCTGGAACTTCGGCCACGGGAGCTGCGCGCGGCTCGTCTCCCGGCGCTGCTCCGTCGATCGCCCTCTTCTTCTTGACCCTGTCCATGAACTCGACCTCCGCCTGCGATGCTTTGAATGATTCCGCCGCAGCGGTGAGAGCGGCTTTGGCTGCCGCCTTGGCCTGCGCGACGAACTCCTTCTTGCGCCGCTCGATCCCCCCCCCCTGCCCTAGGAAGAGTCGGCTTGCGAGGGGGGTCGGGCGCGCGGGAGGCGGGCGGAAGCGTCGCCGGCGCCCCGCGCCCCCGGGGGGCTCCATGTAAGATTCCCCAGGGTGCGCCAAGCGCGCGCGCGTTCCTTGCCCGCGCGCTCGCATTAGCGCAAGCGCATCCTAAGAAACTATGATTTGGATCGGCACTGGGCGACAACGGGCATGGGGCGCCTGTCAAGGCTGCTTCTGGGAGCGATTGCTGCTGGCTCGACACGCGCGATATGCATGTAACGACTTTTGGAGGACGGGCGCTGCGCCGTCCAATCCAACGCGGGAATGGCGCGGTCCAGGGCGCGCGGCCGTCGCGGCACACGGCGGTCGACGTGACCGCATGGGGCGCGCGATCGGCCGCGCGGAATTTGCAGGCCATTCGGCCGACGCTGCCGGGTCGCCCTCAAACAGCCCGCCAGGAATACGCAAATGCGCAATGCGCCAGCGCGCCGCCAGGATATCGCCCTGAAAACAACCTGTTCACCCTGAACGCCGACTGCGCGCCTCGCTGAACCAGCGAAGTCGCGCGGCGCGCCCGCGCCGCGGACCCGCCGCAATGAACTCGCGGGAAAAAAGCCTCTCTCCATGGGTTCTGGCACCGATTCTGGCCTACTTCCCCGTTCTGGCCGATTCTGGTTCCATCGCCGATTCCTCCTTTGATTCCGCATTGATTCCGTGCTGATTCTTTTGATTCCGCTAGAATCAGGGGTCGCAGTTGTGCCGACTCTGTTTTGATTCTGTACTGATTCCGCACTGATTCCTTTGATTCCCCTGTGCCCCGGGGACCATCAGGCCGCGGCCCGAGCTCCCGCCTCGGCGGCACGGTTTTTCCAGGAGCGCGGAAGAGTTTTGAGGGGGAGGGGGGCGGGGGGGGGGCAGGGCGACTTTTGGGGCGCATCGGGCGGCCGAACCGCAGATTTCCGGGCCCAGTGCGCGCGCCCAACATGGCAGGCGCGGGCGCGCGAGCGAGTTCTGGACCGTCGGCGCACCTGTAAGTTCATGCCCCGCCCCGCGCGCGGGAATGGAAACTCGGGCTGCGGCTTCCCATTGAACGCGCGGCCGTCGCCCCCCATGCTGCTCAGCGCGCAAAGCGCGCGAGCAGCATGGGGGGCTTTGCGTTGTCGCATGAGAAGTGCGCGGAACCGAACCGAACGGTCGGCGGCGCCCGCTCCTGCGCCGCGCGCGAGGCCATCGCGTCAGCGCGGGAGGCTACAAGGGCCTGGGCCGTCGCCCTGGGGCGCGGGCACAACGCGAGGCCCGCGCGGGTCTCTCGCGCCGAACATGCGCAACAAGGTCGGCCCGCCCGCCGGCTGGCGCTCGCGGGCGACGCGACGCCGGCGCCGACTGCGAGGCCGACTGGGCCCGGAGGATTCCGATTCCTGAGAGTCCCGGGAAGGGGCAACGGGCCGCGATGGACTCGGCGCGGTCGTTGCCGCCCCCCCCGCGCCCGCCCCCCCCTGCAAGCCGACTCCTCCTACCCTGCCCCCATCGCTGATCTCGTCGCTGGCCACTGCGAAGATGTCGCCAAAGTCAACGTCGATCTCCTGGACCTCCATGAGGGCTGCGATTGGAAGTTGCGGCCGCTGTGGTCGCGCTGCCCCGCCAACAGCGCCGCCGCCGAGTGGGCGAAGATGGAGCAAGTCCTTGACCTTCGCCGCTCCAGCGACCACCTCCGCCGCGCACCGCTGGAAGTCACGCCCTGCCTGCTGTAACTCTCCTCGGAATCGCTCACGTTCACGGTAGGCCTTCCAGTGAGCTGCCTGGCACTTTTGCACTTGACATTCGGCTTGCCGTAGCGCGGCTCGAGATGCTGGTAGAGACTGCTGCGGCGCAGCTGGTTGCGGCGCAGCTTTCGCGAGGAGATGTTCGACATTGCCCTTGCCCGTGTTGTCCGCCAAAGCTGCTGATCGCTGGAGTAGCTGAAGTGCGCCATCTCCTCCTGCGTGACCTCCGTCGTTGTCTGGCTTCTCGCGCCGCTTCCCAGCTGAGAGAATTGGCCGGCCTCCGCCGTCACGATCACCTCCTCCTCCAAGAAAGGTAGAGCTCGCTCCGGCCGGCGGCCCCGCCCCCCGCTGACTGGCGCCGCATTTGCACTTGAAAGACTCCTGCGCCAGCCGATCCACAAAGAGCCACCTGCCGCACGCTTGGCAACGCGCTTTCTGACCTCCGCCCCCTTGACCTCCGCGACGCCAAGGCCACGTCTGAATCCGCGGCTGTCGCTGCCAACCGCTGCCAGAGTCGCCGCCGCCGCCGCGAGCAGAGGGAGGTGCCATGGCTGAAATAAATTATGAAATAGCGCTCGCACGCCGAAAGAACTGAAGACTGGCTGCGGACTAGCAGCCCCCTTGCTGGCACAGAGGCGCGGAGCCCACGAAGCGCGCTGATCGCGGGCCAAAATGGCTACGGACGCGACGACGGCGACGACGAGAACGACGCCCCCGACGACGGCGGCGAGAACGACGTCGACGAAGACAACCAACGACGCCCCGATGAAGCAGCGACGACGAGAACGACGTCGACGAAGACCGATGACAACCAACGAAAAGACGAAACTGATCATGATGATGGCACCAGTGGCAACGACGGCGGCGCTGGCGAGGACGATGGCGGAAGGGTCGCGGGCGCCCGCGCGCGCGCGGAAAATTCGCCGGCCCAACGGGCCAGAGGCGTGCTAAGATCTCCGGTAATTGTTTAACAGTATTTCTAGTTCGCGCGCGCGGGGCGGCCACCGAGGGCCCCCCGGCGAAAAATGCCCCGGGCAAGTCCCGGAGGGAGACCCTGGGCCGGGCAATTTTTCGACACCACTCGCGAGGATCGCGGCCTCCGAGGGCCGCAATCGACTGCCCCCCCCCGCCCCGCGAGGCCCACAAGGGCCCCCCATGAGGCCCTAGGGGCCCCCAAGACGCCGCCCAGGAACCCCGAGAGACTCCCACGAGGTCCCCAAGAGGCCCCCAAGGGGCCCTAAAGCAGGCCCCTGGGCCGGCAGAATGAGCGAAGCGAGTGGTAACCTGTCTTCAAATGGTTGGATACTGTTGTAAGAATTCCGGCGTGCGCGCGCACACGCGCGCGTGGTCAAGATCAAGCTTTTTGACACGAGTCCCAGATGCGGGGTGGCGGGACGTTTCGAGCAAGAGCGCGCGCGGCCAAAAGTGACCCGATTCGACCAGATGGTCGAAACCAACGGCGTTTTTCCACGACGTCGGCGAAAGCGCGCGAGTAGTTCCGACATCTGCCGCGCCAGAGATCAGCTTGACCTTCGCCGGGCCCTTCGCATCAGTCGCGCCCCAGCCCGTCGACCCGCGGGAAAACACGGGAAAATTACCCGGGCGAGGCCAGTCCGCCGGGGGTCGCCGGCGAAGGCGCGGAATACTTGAACTCGCGGGCCTTGCGACCTCTGGGCGGCCGCGTCCGCGGCGTCGCTGCAGACCACGCATCGCCGGCACGTCGGCCGGAGCGCCCCTTGACGACGCGCCGCTGGGCGCGGGGCCAGCAATCCGACCACCGCGTTCCCCGCGCTGCCCCGCGCGTCGTTCGCGGCCGACCATCTGGAAAGCAACGCTCTAACCGTGGAGCAGCCACGCCCATGCCCAGATCGACATGGCCATCAGTAGTCACGCGCAGCAGCAGCGCGCGAGCGGGCGCGACGCCGCGCCGCACGCGGCCGCCACCGCGAAGAGACCCTGGCCGCGACGCCGACGACGGGCAGTCGCCGGGCCGCCGCGGGCACGTCTCGCGCGCCCGCGTCGCGGCCAGTCGCAATAACCAATGGCCCTGCCGCTGGCCCCCTCCGAGGCGCGGCCGGGCGCCTGGCCGCGCGAACGCCGCCACGACCTGGAGCGCCCCGCGACGTCTCGTGGAGGCGCTCGTCCTCGCGCGACGCCCTGGGCATCGCGCCGATGAGCGGCCGCGGCGGCGACGCGCCACCGCGCGGTCGCGCGCGCGGAGCTCGCGCGAGCGCCGCGAACGGCAGCGGGCAATCGTCGAGGCCGACTCGCGCGGGCCACCAGCGAAACGAAAGGGGCGGGCGGCCCGGGGGCGGACGTCGCGCGCTTCGGAGCCCGGCGACGGCTGCAGCGTTTCAGGCGCCGCAGCTGGGGGACGGGGGGCGCGAACAGGCGCGCGGCGCAAGTCTTGGACTGGCGCGGAGACGGCGCGTGGAATATCGCGGCGGCGACTGCGCTTGCTCAATGATTTGCCTAAAAATGTGAATGTAGTTTCGGAATATATGCGCTCATGCTTGGTTGCGTGTGTTCAGTGGGGGTTGCACGCGTGCAATGTTCCATTGCATGCATCCGCTCAATGTTCTGGGGGGGGCAAGAACGCCCTCGCGGCTCGCTTGCGACGCGCCCGGCGATCGCGATGACCCCGCAATTTCCCGCGCGTTCTGAAGCTAAGAAAAATCCGAAAAACTTTGCCGCCCCTGGCCGAAATCCCCCGACGCTGCAATTGTCTGAGCGACTCGCCACGCCGCGCCGCAGCGCGCGCCCGCATCTGCCCCCCGCCACTGGCATCCGGGCAAGGAGGCAGGCGTCGGCGCGGAATCGGGCTCGCGCCGCGCGCCGATGAATCTGGTTAGAATGCGACCACCACAATCGATTCGCCATCTCCGCACCGATCCAAGACTCGCGCCGCGCGCCCGCAAGTCCCCGCCCCCCCGCCACCACTCCGTCGCCCGAAACAGCGCTGCCATCGCTGGGCCCCGAAAAATACAACGCCCGCCCCTAGGCCATCGACCCCCTGTGTCTGTCTCCCCCGAGGGCCAGGCCCCTCGCCTGGCGACGCCCCCCGAAGCGCTGGGACCGAGTCGCGACGCTCGTCGGTGCCGACGCCCATGAACCACGCCCGAGCCTTCGCAAAACCCCACCGCGCCCGGCCGCGCGCAGCAGTGCGCGCAAATGGCCCGAGGGCCCGGCCAAGCGCCCACGGTCGCCGAAGCG